TCTACCTTGTTTTCTACATAGAATCTATGCTACTGCAGAAGTGCAGATACAGCACACAAGCACAAGCACAACTTAAGAAAATGGCACCAGTAAATTTCCAAAGCCATGAATATAAAACTCGTCAAAGCAACCAACCAACGATGCCTTTAAAAATTAGTAAAATTTTCATGTAATCAAATACAGATGCTCCCTGTAGAGATGGATGGTCGAGCTTGAAGACAGTTACGTACGTACTTAGGAGGCTAGGAGCTAGCTATTATCATTGATGTGGTCATGAAATAAATAGAATTAAGATATATTTCAAGTGGGAGATCCACAAAAGGGTGTCTTTGATCATATTCTCTTCACATTTGTCTTTATATAAATGGGTGTCTTAGATCATATTCTCACTTTTTTTACATGCAAATATGCTCACCTCACCAGTATGGGAGTATAACAAAACGTACAAGAAAGAATTGTTTCAAGATACATATTTCGGGTTAAATTAATCTATTGTACGTGAACGAGGATTCAAACTTTAGTGTAAAAGGACGGGTTAATTGTCTTAATGGTTAATCAATTAACCTAACTCACTACTAACTCACGGCCGCATTTATTTTGAATACCGAAAGATGTGAATTGAAAAGACATTACCACATACATTGATCCCACTAATTTTAAGATGCTGGAATTTATTGAAAAGCATAAAGCAAAAACCTTTCCGAGGAAGTACATCATCAGTCACTTAATCATCATGGACGCTCCAAAATTTCTTTTTAGGACTAGTGTTAAAAGTTGACAGAAATTGCCATGTGTTGGTGATGGAGACTTAAAGTGGGTTGTGCTGGGTTTATGGGGTAGCCGGTGGAATTGACAGGCCAAAAAAAAGCTCATATCACAAATGGAGTTGAACCGAAAGATGTGACCAACATGATTAACTAAGCCGTTCTGATATGTAGCTAGCTAGTAGCTATCAACTATCAAGCAACCAAATCTGGGTTTGGAATGGAAGAATCTGTCCCTGCTTTTTCCAAATTTCAAACGTGATCATTAACAAGCTTGTTCAACTGTCTGCCATGGCCAGTTGGGAATGTGATTAGGATGCTACTTTGTTATCTTTTCAAGCGTGCGTATCATGCTATTTTTTGTCGTTTATTAATCATCACATCATCACGTGGTATTAATAATGTTAGCATAGCGTGAAAAATATCTCTGTAAAACCAGCAAAAACCATACATCAAAATTAGAAAGCAACTGCTGCCTTTGATCCAAGACCATATGTATGTGCAGATATAGAATGGTTCCGATCATTTTCAACATCTAAAATCGGTATCATCAAAAAATGCATTCAGATCAATTCTAGATTAAATATTTCCAATAATATATTATATAACCAATCTAGCTGTTAATAAACTGTTATTTAATAAAAAATTATAACTTAATTAGAGGAACCGGCCACTTTGTTTATGATTTGTATAAATTAGTTTTTAATTCGCCTTAGTTAATGGTCTAAGTTTAAGAGCAGAGCACGGGCATATCACATCAACTAGAACGTCACGAGGTGCGTTTATGAATTAACTTAAAATTATAAAAAGGGAATTAAGTGTAATTTTATGAGTCCTGTGCTTTTGAGATGAATGAGATATTTTTGTGTCAAAGTTTTTGATCATATTTCGTTTATTTAAATATGGATCTCAAGTTCGAATTCTTACATCATCATAATTGCATATCCATTTACATTTTTTTAAAGGATATAGTTTTCCACACTCCTACTTCGTCAATTAATTTCAATACAATATATATGTAAATAAAATAGAAGTCGTATGCAAATACGTCAGCTCCTTTCCGTGAAATAGTAGATCTCTACTTTTACCCTTCCATATATCGTGAAGACAAAGAAAACCACCATAGAATTTGAATTCAGTGCTTCCTCTTCTTGCAGCGAGAAGGCCAGTGCATGCCTTTTCCTTTTCCTACACAATTCCCCATCTGCATGCCATGATTATGTTATATCTATCATCTGACTCCTCCACAAATCAACCACCATGATGAAATCTCATGTACTTGAGCCATCAGTTTTTACGTTTGTTTTAATATAGAAATCATCATGAATCCTTATGCGAAACAAACAGTGACACAGGGAGGAATGAACCATCTTTTTCTCAGCCTGCGGAATATTTATTACTCCATAATTTTACACCAACACGTGGAGAAGGTGGCCAAATTTGGTGGGATTAGCCATGCAGATACACAATTTCCACAGCATTCTAGCGACGGTTTTCTAGTTAATGCAAGTCTTTTATAAATTCGTTAAAATTGGGATTGAAGCTGGGAACGAACATCTAAGAACCAGGCACAATAAAAGCCAAATTTAATGCAACTCTTCATAAATACCATTTCAAACAAAACGCCAAGCAATTGCATGTCTAGCCAAATATATATACATATATATATATATATATATTGGTAAACGTGCAAGCAATGGCGGACGTAGCAAGGCGCAAGGTGCACCTCCCCTTGCCGGAAAAATCATTGTGGGTGCTTCAAATTGCCCCTTTGCTCAACTGGTGTACAGATTACCTTATTTCCATTTTCAACATTTAAGTAAATGTCTTTTTCCTTTTACTTTTATTTATTTTTATATTACTCCATTTACTTAAGTTTACAATGTAAATAAGGAAGTACCCCCCATTTGGATTCAAATAAAAATACTAGAAAATCAAATTCCCACCAAATCAAAATATGAAAATTCGGTTTTAGTGCAAAATACGATTTAGGCTAAAAATGATGGCTCATTAAGTCAATATATACTTCATACTAAAATCCCATAAAATCAAGTTTTCTTATTTGATGTGTAAAGAATAAAAGCCGCCAAAAATTATCTTGAGAAAATGATTATTCCAAAAAATCATTTTTCATACTTAGTCAATATTGCACCTCTGCTAAAAAATTTCTGGATCCGCCAGTGCGTGCAAGCCTCGTGTTCACCTCCTTGCATGTTTTTGCTCCCTTCAGTTTTGGATTGATCTTCGACAGGATTTTTTCTATTTTAGAATAAGCAATAATTTGTATTAATAAAATAAAATAAAAATAGACAACTACGTGTTGGATATGAGTAAATCTTCTCAAGCGATATATTTATTTATTTTTTAGGTTGAGGGCGGAAGTGCGTGGGATGTCAATAAACCCTTTGGATTGCGATAGCTAGGGCCATAAGACAGTAACTTAACTTCAACCTATTGGTTTTGAAGTATCGAATGGCCAAATATTAAGGGATACAAATTATTTCTGAAGACAAGTGGTCACACGAGGATACTATATTAATTATATTAATAATAATAAACAGGGTCCATGGTCCATGCATAAAACAAGCTCTCAATTAAATATATGATGATGGCTTTAGCTAGTTTGACAGATGTACAAACCTCTCACGCATTCGACCAAAAAAAAAAAAAAAAAAACCTCTCACACATGAATTAACTTCGGGAATATACGAATCTTTGTTTGACCCTGAAATAAAAAATAAACATACGAATCTTTAGGATCAGACATGCAAATATGCTTATGATGGAAGGTTGATTTGGAATGAAGGAATTGAAAATTGTATAGAATTTTAAAATTATGGAATTTAGATTTTTATTATTTTAATTTTTGGCAATTAAAGATTTCAGTGTTTGGATTTATGTATGTCGAATTTTGTAAATGACATTATCGAAATTGTGAAATTACGCATATTTTCTTGGAAATTAAACTATGAAATTTGATGTCTCAATTTTCACAATTTTTTTTCGTGCGTCATTTAATAAATTCCGACCTTAAGTTGCCAAACAAGGGAATTGTCAATTTCTTTTCTTAAATTTTCAACTTTTATTTAAATTCAGAGTTATTTTTCCTCATCCAAACGGAGGGTTAATGTTATACTACTGCAGATTTATTGCTTGAATGAAAATATTTTATTTAAATAATATTGTACGTATATGTATATGTAGAGAAACATATTGATTCCAATATTATTTTTGTATAACCAAGTAGCTGTAGCTGCCTTCATTTTATTGAAGGAGGCGTCATGTTGTGCTCACATAAATACGATGATTATATATACTTGTGATGAGTTTGATATATAATTAATCACATAAGTATTGCAATTATGTAAACAAAGTGGTAGATTGAGCTTTTATAACTTTCTATTTTGTGTTGTGAGAGTTATCCAATGCTTCTCTTAAAGGAAAGATCTTTTTTTTGCCCTCCATTATTGTAACCCAAAAGAAGAGATTTTTCACTCTGTTGTTTCCTTTTGAAGAAGAGAAGGTGTTGGATTGTGTTTTAATGAAAATTTAGTGATTGAGATTTGACCTCAATATTTTTTTTCCCTTTGCAGAAAATAAGGTGTTGGATTCTGTTTAAATGAAAATTTAGTGATTGAGATTTGACTTCAGATATGAAAGTTCCAAATTTTCGATGAACTGGAAGATAGAAAAAGAAGAGGATAATAAAAGCTCCAAATCTGCATGAACTGGAACCTCACAATCACAAATGGTATACATATTAATTTGTCGACAAGGGGATGATATATAGTGGACTGGAACCTCCCAAACTTCCAAGCTGCTGAAGTGACATGAAAACTCCAGCTTCCCAGATTAAGAAACTAATTAGCCAAAACCAGAAGCTAATAATAAACACACATCAGAGAGAGACCATTGTCCTGTACTGCAATCCGTTTTTTATTTCGTTAATTACGTGATTAAGTTATGCGGTGTAAATGGTCATAGATTGGGTCCACTGACCCACCGATCGTCATTAATGACGCTTTTTGCAGAGAGAGCCTTAAAGTCAAACCTTGATCTTCTCCCATCAGCAGAGCCACATGTTCATTTCATTAACCCAACTTTATTTTAATACAATAGACCTGTCCATATGCAATCAACTCGCTGCCTCTGTCTATAAGCCTCTCTGTCTGTCTTTGGCACACCTATATATACACATCATATCCATATGCGTTTGTTCTCAGCAGTTGAGGCCAGAGGCTTTGTTTTGGAAGCAACCTACCAGACAAGAGGCATAAGCAAACCAACCACGTAAAGACGTGGTCTGAGAATCTAAACGATTGTTTGGTTTCTTCCTCAGAAAAGGCCGAGAAAATTATGGGACAGAAAGGTCCTCCTAGTGGTCGGGACAGTGGGAAGAAAGTTGGGTCTATCCGGTCCGTTTTCATGCATGCTGATGGTGTTGATAAATGCTTCATGATCTTAGGGCTCTTTGGATCCCTTGGTGATGGATTCTCGACGCCCTTGGTGTTGTTGATCACTAGCCGCTTGATGAACAATATTGGAGGTTCATCAACTTCGGCTCAGGATGATTTCTTGCATAACATCAATAAGGTAATCTCTCTCCCTCTCTCTCTCTCTCTCTCTCTCTCTCTCTCTCTCTCTCTCTCTCTCTCTCTCTCATAAACGCAAGCACAAATCAATCTAATTGGGGTTTGGTTTTTTTTTTTGGGTTGACAGAATGCAGTGGCGCTGTTGTACTTGGCCTGTGGATCATTTGTTTGTTGTTTTCTAGGTGGGTTTTTACCAAAGATTGTTTCTTTTGTAAAAGAAAAAAGAAAAAAAGAAAAATCATGAAATTAAGAAGACTAATCTTTTTGTGTAATTTTTGTAGAGGGTTATTGCTGGACAAGAACAGGTGAGAGACAAGCGGCTAGAATGAGAGTCAGATATTTGAAAGCAGTGCTAAGGCAAGATGTGGGCTACTTTGATTTGCATGTGACAAGCACCTCAGAGGTTATCACAAGTGTCTCTAATGATAGCCTCGTGATTCAAGATGTCCTCAGTGAAAAGGTTTGATTTTGAACAAGCTAGCCCACCAGCTATTTGAAATTCATTTATCTTTGAAATTAATCAACTTGCATGTTTCAAATCCCCCACCAGCTGCCAAACTTTTTGATGAATGCCTCAATGTTCTCTGGAAGCTATGTGGCGGCCTTTATAATGCTGTGGAAGCTAGCAATTGTGGGATTTCCTTTTGTGGTGCTTTTGGTAATTCCTGGTTTAATGTACGGAAGGACTTTGATGGGTTTAGCTAGGCAGATTAGAGAAGAGTACAACAAGGCTGGATCAATAGCAGAGCAGGCAATATCTTCTATCCGAACGGTTTACGCCTTTGTCGGAGAAAACAAAACCATCTCAGAATTCTCTGCAGCTCTTCAAGGCTCTGTCAAGTTGGGATTGAACCAGGGCTTGGCTAAAGGCCTAGCCATTGGAAGCAATGGCGTCGTCTTCGCCATTTGGTCTTTCATGTCATATTATGGTAGCAGAATGGTCATGTACCATGGTGCTCAGGGAGGCACTGTTTTTGCTGTTGGTGCTTCCATAGCCGTTGGTGGATTGTAAGAACACTAAAAAACCCAGTAAATTTTACAAAGAAAGTTTTAATCTTTCCCAGAAATTGGATATTTTTAATGCATGGTTTGGTTAATTAATTATCTTGTTCTTGATGAACAGAGCACTAGGTGCTGGTTTATCAAACTTGAAGTACTTCTCAGAAGCAAGCTCAGCAGCAGAGAGGATAATGGAAGTGATAAGAAGGGTCCCCAAGATCGATTCAGACAACATGGAAGGTGAGATTTTGGGGGAAGTATCAGGAGAGGTTGAATTCAAGCACGTAGAATTCGCCTACCCATCAAGACCCGAAAGCATTATCTTCAAAGACTTCAACTTGACAGTGCCAGCGGGAAAAACCGTGGCCTTGGTGGGCGGCAGTGGCTCGGGAAAGTCCACAGTGATATCACTGTTGCAGAGATTTTATGATCCACTTGGTGGAGAGATTCTTCTTGATGGGGTGGCCATAAATAAGCTCCAGCTAAAGTGGCTGAGGTCACAGATGGGTTTGGTGAGCCAAGAGCCGGCGCTGTTCGCAACCAGCATAAAAGAAAACATACTTTTTGGCAAGGAAGATGCCGAAATTGAACAAGTCATTGACGCTGGAAAAGCCGCTAATGCCCATAATTTCATCTCTCAGCTGCCTCAGGGATATGATACACAGGTAAAAATATTACTTGTCTAATTATTATTATTGTGTCGTTTAATTAGCAAATGATACGCATCTTTTAACCAAATGACAAATTGTTGCTTTCCATTTTAGTCTGCGTGTCGTCAAGATTTTCTAAGTGATCCAAAGTATGATAATTCTGTCCCCCACTTTCCTGTGAATGAAGGTCACTTTCTTTCCTTCCAACCCTCCAAAGTAGCAACAGAACAAACCCAATATACTACCGCACCTGCATGCGCATCACTGTTTACAGTCGCCAAATACGTCATCATCATCATCATCATTATTTTATTTTTTATGCTTAATGCTAATATTACTTTATTATCATCTTAACCACTCTTTAACCACTTTACGTAATTCATTATCAATAAACAACAAGTTTATTCTGCAGTCAACTCCGATTTAACATGATGCGTGTCAGCTGTCTATATGTCGTCCTTTTTTTCTTTTCTTTTTTCCTGATATTAATTATTAATTATTATGATTATCATCCTTAACACAACTTCATGCAGTAATTTTTTTAATTACAGTACTAAAAAGAAATTAACATGTTAATTAAACAGGTTGGGGAGAGGGGTGTTCAAATGTCAGGAGGACAAAAACAGAGGATCGCCATTGCACGAGCCATCATCAAGAAACCTCGTATCCTCCTCCTAGACGAAGCCACAAGCGCATTGGATTCTGAATCCGAGCGAGTCGTCCAAGAAGCTCTCGACAAAGCCGCCGTCGGCCGGACTACAATCATCATCGCGCACCGCCTCTCCACCATCCGAAATGCCGACGTGATCGCCGTCGTTCAAAACGGGCAGGTCATGGAGACCGGGTCGCACGACGAGCTGTCCCGGATCGAAGACGGGCACTACACGTCGTTAGTCCGTCTGCAACAAACAGAGAAACAAAAAGGACCAGAGGAGTTAGGCTCGTCGTCTATTTCAAACGACATTCACAACACAAGCAGTCGCAGGCTCTCCCTAGTGAGCCGTTCCAGCTCCGCTAACTCATTCGCGCAAGGACGAGCCTCGTCGCTCGCTGGGGATCAAGAGAATATGGAAGAGTTTGATCAGCAGAAGCTGCCCGTGCCGTCGTTTAGGAGACTGTTGGCTCTGAACCTGCCGGAGTGGAAGCAGGCGATTTTGGGTTGTTTGAGCGCGACTCTGTTTGGTGCGGTCCAGCCGGCGTATGCATTTGCAATGGGGTCCATGGTTTCTGTGTATTTCTTGACGGACCATGATGAGATCAAGGCCAAGACGAGGACTTATGCGCTGTGCTTTCTTGGGTTGGCAATCTTCTCGTTGCTGGTCAATGTGTGCCAGCACTATAACTTTGCCTACATGGGAGAGTGCTTGACCAAGAGAGTTAGAGAGAGGATGCTCTCAAAGATTTTGACATTTGAAGTCGGTTGGTTTGATCAGGATGAGAATTCCAGTGGCGCCATTTGCTCTAGGCTAGCCAAAGATGCCAATGTGGTACGTATTAACAGTCTGATATGTTACCTTGTCAAATTTTTTTATTGACATGTTTGGTTGATTATTGTTTGTAGGTGAGATCTTTGGTGGGTGATCGGATGGCTCTGGTTGTGCAAACCATCTCAGCTGTGGTTGTGGCCTGCACAATGGGTTTGGTGATTGCATGGAGGCTGGCCTTGGTTATGATAGCCGTGCAGCCACTCATCATTGTGTGCTTCTACACTAGGCGCGTCCTGCTCAAAAGCATGTCCAGGAAGGCCATAAAATCCCAAGAAGAAAGCAGCAAGCTCGCAGCCGAAGCAGTGTCTAATCTCAGAACCATCACCGCCTTCTCGTCCCAAGACCGCCTATTGAAAATGCTCGAAAAGGCCCAAGAAGGCCCCCGCAGAGAGAGCATCCGGCAGTCATGGTTTGCGGGTATCGGGCTTGCTTGCTCTCAAAGCCTGACGACTGTCACTTGGGCCTTCGACTTTTGGTACGGAGGCAAGCTTGTCGCCAAGGGCTATGTCCATGCAAAACAGCTCTTTGAGACCTTCATGGTCTTGGTAAGCACGGGCAGGGTCATCGCGGATGCTGGTAGCATGACCACGGACCTCGCCAAAGGCTCGGATGCTGTGGGGTCCGTATTCGCCGTGTTAGACCGATACACGAAGATCGAACCCGAAGATCCCGAAGGTCTGGAGCCCAAAAGAATAGTGGGTCACATTGAGCTACGCGACGTGCATTTTGCGTACCCGGCTAGGCCCGATGTGATGATCTTCAAAGGCTTCTCGATCAAAATCGAATCAGGGAAATCAACGGCGTTGGTGGGACAAAGTGGGTCAGGCAAATCAACCATCATTGGATTAATCGAGAGATTCTATGATCCAATTAAAGGGGTAGTCAAAATCGACGGTCGAGATGTGAAGTCTTACCACCTTAGATCACTGAGAAAGCACATAGCGTTGGTCAGCCAAGAGCCAACGTTATTTGCTGGGACTATACGCGAGAACATTGTATACGGCGTGTCGGATAAAGTTGACGAATTGGAGATAGTGGAAGCTGCGAGGGCAGCCAACGCTCACGATTTCATCGCCGGGCTCAAAGACGGATACGACACGTGGTGCGGAGACAGAGGTGTACAGTTGTCCGGGGGTCAAAAGCAACGCATTGCCATAGCCAGAGCGATATTGCGAAACCCCGTCGTTTTGCTGTTAGACGAGGCAACCAGCGCGCTTGATAGTCAGTCAGAGAAGGTGGTGCAAGATGCTCTAGAGAGAGTGATGGTGGGGAGGACGAGCGTGGTGGTGGCCCACAGGTTAAGTACCATACAAAACTGTGATCTTATCACTGTGCTTGATAAAGGGAAGGTTGTGGAGAAAGGGACCCACTCGTCGCTTTTGAGTAAGGGGCCTACCGGTGCATATTACTCACTGGTCAGTCTCCAGAGGACCGGGCCCACTCAAAGTGTTCACTAAATTGCAATGAAATTAACCCCCCGCCTTAAAAAAATAATTTCCTTTTGTTCTTTTTGTTCTTTCCCCCCATGGAAATGCTCGGTGGCGAAGGCCTAAAATAGTTATAGTAGGAGTACTAGTAGACAATCCCATATCTTGATTATGCATGGTCCATGCAGGTGAGGAGTGAGGATGGCATGGCATTTGATGTTGCAAAAGCGCTTCGATTAAATGTCTATGTAATAATGGTATTTTATGTGTAGTACGCACAAGTGTATTAGAAAACTAGAAAGCATGATGAAGGCAATGTTGTATAATTATTTTCTTAGCGTTTTTATTTTTCAGAAACTGATGCACGTATACCTTCCAGTTGACACTCTACTACTACTACTACTGCTAACACAAGCATTTCCACAAGAAAATACATCAGTTGCGTACTTGCCTTGCCTGGGTGCCAGAAGTAGTTGTGCTTTTTAGGGGTCGACGACTCAGTCGCCTAGGGCAGAATGCATGACTTATAAACGTTGAGAAAATAAGTACCGTTAGACTAAGGGGAAAAAAAACTGTTGAAAGGGCAATAACAAAAAGAAAGAAAGGCATATAGCTACAATTGGGCCGAATTTAGCTGGCCAATTTGACCAAATTTTAGGTGGGCCTTGACTTGAGTCCGCAATTTTTTACTAAAATCATTTAGCATCAGCCCAACTCACATGCTCTAATGCATAAATTATTAAACTCAAAGTTTCATATTGGCTTATAAAAGCTACACAAAACCCTAAAACACGAGTCAGTTCCCTTGTCAGCGATCAAACCCTAACGAGTTCCCATTCTTCCCTGGAGATCAGCTCACTAATTTCAAAGGCCAGTCCCAAACACCAGGAGGCGGAGGAGGACCAGGTGGTGCTTCGCAGAGATTGATGTCGATCAATGATGCTCTGTTGTTTATCAAGCAAATCAAGGACGTGGGTGGCGATCAAAGAGAAGAATATGGCATGTTTATTGAAATCATGAAAGATTTTAAGGCTCAAAGGTATATCAACGTACCTATTATTATTATTATTATTTTCCCTGGTGAATGTGATTGATGGCTTGTTTGTTTATATATATCTTGGTTTCTTTCAGGATCGACACAAAAGGTGTTTGTGCGAGAGTAAAGGCATTATTCAAAGGGCACAACCACTTAATTTTGGGATTTAATCAGTTCCTGCCACAGGGTTATCAGATAATCCCTGAGGAAGAAGATGCGCCTCCGCCGCTGCAAAAACAGACAGTTTATATGAAGCTGCTATCGCGTTTGTAAATAATACATGGGTGAGTATATATTTTATTTTTTAGATTTTATGCTTTAACCAATCCATCTATTATTGTTTTCTGGATTTATTTTTGAGGTGTTGCTTCGAATCGAAACCAAACCCAATCCTCTCTCTTAGTTTTAGTTGTTGTTATAACCTTGTGATACAAATTCACAGTCTAATAACATAAGTCTTCGCAAAAACTGTTATAACAACTATATAGACAAATATACCCGTCAAAATCATCAATTGAGCAAAAGTAGATAAACCCATCTCAAAATGAAATAAATAATAAAAACGAAAGTTATCTCCACAATATGAAAGTAGGGGAATTTTTGTTATCATGAAATATTATTTATTTCCATGTTTCAATAAGCATAAAGGTTTTGGTATTTATTTTCATTGTTATTGATTTTTCGTATTAGGAGGACAACGAGGAGGACTGCAGTATTTGCTTGAGGGATTGAGTTCCTTATTAGACAACTATTCATGTATTGCTGGACTTAAACTGTTTTTTCCTTCAACCATAGAGACTTAAATTTGGACTTGCATATTTATTAAGGAGTTAAAGAATGGTTAACTCTATTTTTTTTGGTTAATTTTTGTTCATTACTCCGTTATTTATTTTTTTTGAACATTTTCACATAAATGGATGGATATTTTATAGAGATTTGGGGTTGAATATGATTTAGATAACTTTAAAAAATTATTTAGCACGTGATTATATGGAGAAGTGCTTAAAGTAATAAAATCACTTTTGGGAAGAAACACCTTCCACGTATTTCTCCATATAATCACTTTAAGTGATTTTAAAGATAAACACTTCCCTTGTGCTTCTTTATAAAACCACTTAATTATATGGATAAGTGATTCTCCATAGAAGTGATTTTTGTCCAAATAAGAGTTAACCATTTCATAGTACTACTAGAACTCCTACCGCAATGTCATTTTCAGAAGAAAAGCACCAACACAAATGTGAATTAGGGGTAGTTGGGCAGGGCAATGTATCCATCCCCTTGCACCCAAGTTTGAATCCTCTTCCGGTATATTAGATTAATTTAAAATAATTTAAATTATTGATTATATGAAAAACCACTGCTTATTAAAAAATAACTGCTTGCTTGCTTGCGTGACGAGTTTCAAGCACTTCTGTTTTTTCAGGTCACTTAGGACAATGCCTAGGAAAAGTATTTTTTATTATAGTGATTAACAACTTCCAAAATTAGAAAAGAAAAAGGTATTATTATAATTGAATAATTGAATTGGACAAACAATTAAATATGCGGGAAAAAAAAAACCAAAAAGAAAGAAGATGGCTGTCAGTACAAATGTGCCATTATGTCCTGTTAGTAGGAGTTCAGAGAACATTGCATAGTGCTTTACCGGGCAACCTTGTGCTTATAAATCTTAGTTTTTTGGTTACCCAATTGTGTAATTTTCTTTTGTTTAAACAAAATAATATAAGAGACGGAGAAAATGTGAGGGGAAGGAGGGTTACATTTGGGCCGAATTTAACTTGCCAATATTTGCCAACGTCGGAAATCATCTAATCCCGGCCCATTGATGGGCCCAAAATGAAACCCCAAAACCTAAGTCGTCGTTGAAGATCATTTGAGTAAATAACCCATATTTAAAATTATATTTATAAGTGAAGACAACTACCATTGGACGAAAAACTAGTTGGCAACCTTATAGTCTATTAATAGAACAAAGGCGTTTTTGGAAGGCTAGTTGGAAAATTTCCACGCATTTAAAGAGTTGAAAATAACTAGTTGAAAATTTTCCTTTTCTTTTATGGCGTGGTTAGTTACTTGGAATGGTAATGAAACGCTGAGAAATCACGTATCAAAATAATTATAATACTCATTTCAAGTAAGTATATATGAAATTAATTTATTTTCCTTATAGTAGTAATTGAATTTAAAAATCGATTTTTTCACTTCAAGATTTTTGTTTTTGTTTTATGATAATAGCTTTAGTGTACCAAATTTGAGTTCCAAATGATGTGGCACATACCACACCATAAATATTTAAATAACAATTCTAACTTATATTATAATTTAATTAATTTACTTTAAAAAGAAAATTAAAAGAATCAAAATCCTTGAAATCTAAACAATTAAAACTTAATTAATTAAAATCACTACAACTCTAAACAATTAGCTTGTCGTTGTGTCATTGTTGGCTCTGATCATCTTGGAAACAATTATATGAATTTGAGACTTTTAAAACGGGAATCTGGTTCGGTTTTCACTTCATGAATTTGCCATCATATCCATCCCACCATGTTGCTGCTCTTTCTTCTCATTCCCTCATGTTTTTCTATTTTTATTTATTTATTTATTTAAAGAAAGTAGCACAATCATAGAAAACGCAGAAGAAACCTTAGATGAAGAAGGGGAAAAAAAAACAAGGGGAGGAGAAGGAGAAGAAAGAGCAGTAAACATGGTCTGGAAGGATACGACGGCAGATTGATGGTTTAGGGCTAGTAGTAGGTTTTTTCAGGATAAAAAATGGTAGGGTTTTGATTAATTAAGTTTATGTTTTTTCATTTTCTTCATAAAGTAAATAAAAATAAAAATAATCCAAGTTGGAAGTTGTTAATTAAATATGTATGATATGACACATACCACATTATTTGGGACTCAAATTTAGTGCCTCAAACATTATTGTTTCTTTAATTACTTTCTTCTTAATTATTCCTCCGATAACTATAACATCGTAAATATATTTAGGTTTATGAACTTTTTAATTAATTAATTTTATATTTATATACAAACGAAATTAGATATGGAGGCCACCAAACACAAAATTTTGATTACTAATTAAGTAACCACTCAAATATATATCCCTCGCGCTTTATATATCTTTTATCATTGTGGGGGTTATTCTTTTCTTCTGTTGTCCTTTTTCTCGGCTTGCTTTTTGCATTTTTTTACAGTACTTTGCAATTTACTTTAATACCTCAGAGTTGACTGCATTACCACATCCACAAAGAAGGCACCACTTGCGTCACCTACGTATTTTGCGTGGCTGGCGGGTCAGTCTGAAGCAAAGTTAGACCCACAACTTCAAACTTGGGCCTTTTCTGCCAAGGTCTCTCCACACAAGACAAACATTTATTTTATTTTATTTTATTTGTTTGAAATACAAAGACCCATGACGATCTTACCATCATACAAATCAAGTTTAACAAACTATTTAGTGTCAAAGGGATGAAATTTAAACCAAATACATGAATGAGAATGATTGTGGCCTCTCTTAGCTAAAACGTCAGCAACTTGATTAAGTTTTCTATAAAATATGTCGAAGTTGTATATGATCAAACTGTTGAAATAAATTCCAAACATCTTGAACCATAGTTTGAATGGACCAAAGAACCGAGATCTTCGTTGTGATGATTTGAATTAAAATTTTAAAATCACCTTCAATTTCCAAGTCCAAGTTAAAAATTATTTATAAAAAAAAACAATGACATGCCCTCATTTGGGCCCAACTTTTTGCGAATCTTAGACATGCTGGAGTCTAGGGTTTTGTAGCATCATCAACCCAACCCATATTTATTATAGAAGAAATTTCATTGTTTTTGAAGTAATGTAAGTAGGAACTAGGGCACATTACGTATTTACGAGACGAAAAAACAATGGGCTGGCCAAATCCGGCCCATGGATCTGTCCAAAACAAACGGAATAGGAAATATACAAGCACAAAACATTTTTAATTTTAATTTTAATTTTGTAAAGTTTCGCTAAGTGGAAGAGGAGGAGGCTGTGATGAGAGAGGGGAAGCTATACAATACAAAACCCCAAAACACAAGCCATTCTCTTCACCATTTCGAATTCTCGGATTAGTTCCGCAGTTCCACGTACCAAAGTTTCCTCCTCCTTCTGTTCTCTAAATAAGACGATAAATTTCGTCTCTCTCTCCTCTTCTCTCTTGCAAAATTCACTTCCTAACGTAAGAGAAGAAGAAGAAGAAGATATCACAACCATTGTTCCTCTTCTTCCACTCTCTCTCTCTCTCTCTCTCTCTCTTCTCTTTTCTTTTCTTTCTTCTTTTTTATTTTTCAATTTTTAATTTCTATCTCTTTTCCTCTGCGCGCGATCAAACCACTGTACTAGTTTCCCTCTCTTCCCCGGAGATCTGCTCACTAATCTCCTGCAGAAAAGTAACTCTTCGACAATTTCTTTTTCTTTTTGCAAATGGCTGTTGGTTGTTGTTTTCTTCCTTCTCTCTTTAACAATTTGCTGATTTGTGATTCTTGTTTGGCACAGATGAAGAGAGTGAGAGATGATTTTGTCGTTGGCTCTGCAATGAAACGACCCTCTGGTTCTTCTCGCGGGGACTCGTAAGTCTCTTAATTTCCTCTGCAGCATGATTTCTCACTCTTCAATTGCATGATTGCTTCAGTTTTGTTTGGTTTGTTGCAATTTGTTCTCATGCCAGTGTTAGATTCGGCCCTGTTCCTTTGTTTATGAATACAGTGTACTTGATCATTATGTCGTCGTATTGTGTACTTCTTTTACCTACAGTGGATTTGATTGGTCATGCTTGATCCTGGAATTTCTTCAATTTGTTTGGGGTTTATTATTTATTAGACTTGAACTGAGTAATAACTCCCTTTTCAAAGGTAAATTGAAGAGCTTTCTAAGATTTTGTCAGGTATATTGTTTCAAGCAGATATACTTTTAGGAAATTGAAATCATATGCTGAATATTTGTACAATTTACTTCTCGGGCTACGATAAATTTGGTGGACAAAATGTTGAGGAAAATAGTACAAGAGAATGATAACCGTTTTCGTTTTGGAAATATGTTATCCTTTTGTTATTGTACCTCACTACATTTAGCAAATATTTATCAAGAGGTTATGGGTATAGGAAGGAATTGTATGTATTGTATAATTGTGTTATGGTTTACAGTATTTATATTATAATTATTATTGAGTTTATAATCATTTGTTGGATATGGAGCAATAGGCAATCCCAAGTACCGGGGGGAGGAGGTGGTGGAGGGGCCGTTGTAGTAGGTGGAGGAGGGGCCATGGGAGGAGGAGGTGTTTCGCAGAAGTTGACAACGAATGATGCTCTAACATATCTCAAAGAAGTAAAGGAAATGTTTCAAGACCAAAGAGAAAAATATGATATGTTTCTTGAGGTCATGAAGGATTTCAAGGCTCAAAGGTATCTCAATGTACCCATTATTATTCTTTTTTCCTCTTGTAATAAATGGCTAAATGATTTTGCTGCTGACGGATCCCCCGTCTTTGTCTATTTCAGAACTGACACAGCAGGTGTCATTGCAAGAGTAAAGGAATTATTTAAAGGGCATAACAACTTAATTTTGGGCTTTAATACCTTCTTGCCAAAGGGTTATGAGATAACCCTCGATGAAGATGAGACTCCACCGAAAAAGACAGTTGAGTTTGAAGAAGCTATCAGTTTTGTAAACAAGATAAAGGTGAATATCTTTGTTTTTTATTTTTATAACAAGACTGTTTGTTAGTTTCTCTTTTGATTAATTGATTTCTGTCCTACAGAAACGTTTCCAAAACGATGATCATGTTTATAAGTCATTCCTAGATATACTTAACATGTATCGAAAGGAGCACAAGGACATAAATGAGGTTTACAGTGAGGTAAATATGTGTAATTTTCACGTGTGGCGTTTGATGATATAATGGATCTCTTGTTACGCTCTTTTTCTCTGAAAGAGTATTCCTCCCTATGTTCTTAGTAGGTTATATCAATTTTCAGGTTGCCGCTCTATTTGATGAGCATCCAGATTTGCTAGATGAGTTCACCAGATTTTTACCCGATGCGTCAGCAGCAGCTTCTGCACATCATGCTCAATATGGCCGCAATTCATTTCCACGTTTCAATGAGCGCAGCTCTGCTACACCCACATTTCGGCCAATGCATATGGACAAGGTTTGCATTATTTTGTTTTTCTATGTTTAAACTTTTATGTTTCTGTATTAGTTAGTGATATGTAATGGGGGCATGGCATTTTTCTACAGCAACGTAGGAGGGATAGGATCATTCCTTCCCATGCTGATCGTGATCTCAGTGTTGATCGTCCTGAGCTTGATGATGACAAAGGAATGGTGAAAGTCCAGAAGGAGCACAGAAAACGTTGTGAAAAGGAGAACAGGGATAGGAGAAATCGGGACGATGATGATAGAGAATTAGAGACTGATAACAATAGGGACTACAAATTGCAGCGTTTTCCTGAGAAAAGAAAGTCCTCCAGGAAGGTTGAAGGTTTTGGGGTGACTGCTAACTTTGCTCCTTATGATGACAAAGACTCCTTAAAGAGTGAGTTCTGATGGAACCATTTCAATTTTATACATTCATGTAGGTAGTATTGTTTCATTCTCTGGTTGTTTAGATGGAAAAACAGTTATAATTTGTTTTAAGATTGCAATATGTGTTTATCATGGTAATGGCCATTTTTTTTTGTTAGTCTTGTTGCCAAATAATTAGGAAATACAATGTTTCTTTTTCAACATTGATGGATTTTAGGTGATGAAACCATCTGAAATAAAACTAGCATTATTCACATTGTTTGATTATTTTTCGTGTAAGGGTAAAATCCTGTTGGGAGAAAGAGACGCGATATGTGACACTGGTACTTGGGTCTAATAGTCAGTCATTAGGCATGTCTTGATTGAATATTGTTTAATCCACAATGGGCCTTTTAATCTTTTCCCGTTGAGTGTTGGGAAACCCTGAACTTGTTCTATCATAATATCTGATTTTCAAACCTTGGGGAAAAGGATGCACCTTGCTTTGCTTACTTTCGTTAACCTTTGGCAGATAATTGCATGGTGGTGTTTCAAAGCTTTTAAAAATTCAGTAATGATGTTTTTTAGCCAGTGTTGCTTATGGTCTCTCATTTTTATGCCAGGCATGTACAGCCAGGGATTCATTTTCTGTGAGAAAGTGAAGGAGAGGTTGTGCAGTCAAGAAGACTACCAAGCATTTTTGAAATGCCTTCACATTTATAGCAATGGAATAATTAAAAGGAATGATCTACAGAATTTGGTACGTCTTACACCATTTTCAGCAGTTAACCGACGCTTCTAAAGTCAAGCTTTGTCTGCTTACTCTTTGAGCTAGGGGATACTGGACAAAGGACACTTTATGATGACCATGCTTTATATCTTTCTATAAAAATGTAATGAGATAAAATATTGACTACTTGATGCTATTGCCTCTAGTTTGACATTTTTTGGAAACTCTGCCCGTCTCAGGTGACTGATTTATTGGGAAAGTATCCAGATCTTATGGAAGAGTTCAATGAATTTTTGGAGCGCTGTGAGAATATAGGTAAATGTCAAATTTGCTATCACTTTAAGTTGCTTTCTTGTGGTATTTTATCCTTTAGATTGTATCTGATTGAATTTATTCTTGCAGATGGTTTCCTTGCAGGTGTTATGAGTAGAAGTATGTGTTGGGTCTTCCTTTGTCTCTTTCTAATTGGATAATCTGAGTTTTCAGCTCCTCTACTTTCTGCATTTGGAAGAATAATTTATATTCTAAATAGCATAATTTGAGCTGCCATGTGATTTCTCTGGAATTTTTGCTTGCATCTGTAATTTGAGAATTCTGATGGGTAACTTGTTGACTGCAGAATCTCTGAATAGTGATGGTCAATTATCCAGATCGGTGAAGGTAGAGGAGAAAGATAAAGAGCAAAAGCGTGAAATGGAGGGAGCTAAAGAAAAGGAAAGATACAGGGAGAAGTATTGGGCAAAATCTATTCAAGAGCTAGATCTCTCTAACTGTGAACGTTGTACTCCAAGCTATCGGCTTCTGCCTGAAGATGTATGTCATAGGTTTTGTGTTTCAAATACTATATAGCTTAGTCTGATGCTTAACTCATTGCTGCTTGTCACTTTGCAGTATCCAATACCTTCAGCAAGCCAGAGATCAGAACTTGGTGCCCAGGTTTTGAATGACCACTGGGTGTCCGTGACTTCAGGAAGTGAAGACTACTCTTTTAAACATATGCGCAGAAATCAGTATGAAGAAAGTCTGTTTAGATGTGAAGATGATAGGTAATATTTGGTATAAGTCTCATTTGGTTTTTTTCATGTTAGATTACAAACGAACATGTAATTTTGTCAGAACTATACATTTTGGTATTCAAGTGTGCTTGCATGATCATTTTGATGGATACATGTTCTATTAACTAGGATCTTATGTAGATCTCCTTTGATCTTGTAATCACATTTCCTTCATGGTGCATTTTAAGTTGTTTTTCATTTTTCTTTGGGTTGGAGGGAGCTGGATATGTTAATTCTGTGTTGGAAACTAATGTTAGTTTTGATATTGGCAAGTTTAGGTTTGAGCTGGATATGTTGTTAGAGTCGGTGAGCTCAACCGCTAAGCGAGCAGAGGAGCTTCTGAACAGCATTAATGAAAATAAGATCACTATGGAAAGTCCAATCCATATCGAAGACCACTTCACTGGTTTGTATCTAAAAGTTGATTAAGAAGCAATTAAACGTCAAGTATTTATTCTGGAATTTGAGCTTTATCCATTTTTGTTTTAACTGCATTGGCCTTTTTCGTTTGATTCTTTTTATTGCAGCTTTAAACTTAAGGTGCATTGAACGTTTATATGGTGACCATGGTCTTGATGTGATGGACATACTGCGGAAAAATCCAACTCTGGCTTTGCCTGTCGTATTAACACGCCTAAAGCAGAAACAAGAGGAATGGACAAGGTGTAGATCAGATTTTAACAAGGTTTGGGCTGATATATATGCGAAAAACCATTACAAATCACTTGATCACCGGAGCTTCTATTTCAAGCAACAAGATTCAAAGAATTTGAGTAGCAAATGTAAGTAATTTACTATTGAAGATTGGTTTTCTTGAGCATGTATGTTTCTATGGGTTTTCAATTATTGTTTCTGTGTTCTAATTCTACTCCTATTGAGGAACAGCATTGGTGGCTGAGATCAAGGAATTGAAAGAGAAAAAGCAGATAGAGGATGATATCCTTCTGGCTGTTGCTGCTGGAAACAGGCAATCTGTAGTTCCACATGTGGAGTACGAATACGTTGATATCAGCATACATGAAGACTTGTATAAACTTGTCCAATATTCTTGCGAGGAGGTTTTCTCAACGAAAGAACAGCTAAATAAGGCCATGAGACTTTATACTACGATTTTGGAGCCAATGCTGGGTGTTCCGTCTCGACCTCATGGTTCAGAGGATGATGAAGATGCTGATAAAACTAGGAATCGTGCTATGAATTATACTGCATCAAGCATAGGAGAAAGTGATGGAAGTCCTGGTGGGGATACTGCTATGGTGAATCTTAAACAGCCTCAATCTGTGTGTACTGAAGAAGAAAATACTTTAGCAGAAGTGGAAAGTTTGGCTAATGGGGATACCTTAGCTAAAGAAGATGGCAGTTGCGATGCAGAGCGTGTCCGTAAGAACGATTCCGTTTGTGATAATATTCAACTAGAGAAAGACCAGAAGAATATGGATGTCTCTGATAAAAGGTATCTGGTTACCAACATGGATAACGGACGGCTACCCAGTCAACCATCATATCGAATTGGAGCAGAAAATAAGCATGGCAGAACCAGCTTGGAAGTGACATCAGGTGTGCTTTTTCTGAATTTAATTCTTCTTTTTTCCTATTAGTTTTGGCATCTGATTGTTTTGAGCTAGTTATATTAAGATTTATTTTACTTTGTGGAGTTATCATAATGCTGCAATACTGAGATTGTTTTGAATTTAAGGGTGTGTTGCAACCACGTCAAGACCTGGTGGCTCCATTAGTGACAATGACCATTTACAGAAAGCAAATGCTGATGTCGTTCCTTCACCAGAGGTATGAGTCTGGAATGTTGGCATCTGTTAGGGCTTGCCGGGGTTTGATATTACCATTTGGTTTTGCATTACATACTTACATTCTGTTTGATCTTTCAGGGCGTTGATATTGCAAAACCCGCTTCATTTGCTAATGGAGTGGTTCCAGAAAGCACTAAAGTTAACAGTCATCATGAAGTGTCCGTTGGGCCCTCCAAAATCGAAAAAGAAGAGGGGGAGTTATCACCAGTTGGTGATTTTGGGGAGGATAACTTTGTTGTCTCTGGAGATGCTGGGGTGCAAGCTATGCCTAAGACCAACCATAATGTAGAAAGTAGACAATATCAATCTGGGAATGGGGAAGACACTTGTCAGGATGCTGGAGAAAATGATGCAGATGCTGATGATGAGAACAGTGAAAATGTTTCTGAGGCTGGTGAAGATGCCTCTGGCAGTGAGACAGCTGGTGATGAATGTTCTCGGGAAGAGCAAGGTGAGGAGGAAGATGCTGAGCATGATGATGTTGATGGTAAGGCTGAGAGTGAAGGTGAGGCTGAAGGGGTGGCTGATGGGCACCTTGTTGGAGGAGATGGAATGTCCTTGCAATTGTCAGAACGTTTTCTTTTGTCTGTGAAGCCTGTTGCAAAGCATGTGCCAGCTGCTTTACTTGAAGAAAGGAAAGACTCTCGTGTTTTCTACGGGAATGATAATTTCTATGTGCTTTATAGGCTTCATCAAGTAAAGAGCCACCTTTTCTTTTATTGTTTGCAGTTAGTTTATTTATTTATTTACTACTACATATAAAGCTTGACTTATTTGGTTTTGCCAGATTCTATATGAAAGGATTTCATCTGCAAAAACAAGTTCAACAGGTGCAGAAATGAAGTGGAGAAGTTCAAAGGATAGCAGTTCTCCGGATCTGTATGCCAGGTATTCTGCGGAGCCTCTTATCTTTTAAAAAGATAATAGTTAGAACTGCACAACTGCTGAAAGCATTTTTAGTTCGGTTGCGTTATATTTGTTCCTTTATTGTGCAGATTTATGAGTGCTCTATACAGTTTGCTTGATGCATATATATTATTCACATTGGACAAATTAATATATAAATTTGTCAAACAGGTTTGCTCACTTGAAATTCTGTGTTTTTACTTAAAAATAATTTGTCCATTTGCTTTTTCTGCCAAGGTTCTGATTTGTGGTTCTTTATGCAGCTTCAAGCCGTTGCAGCTGATGAGATGGACAATAAGCTTCTTCAATTATATGAATATGAAAAATCCCGTAAAACTGAGAAGTTGATAGATTCTGTTTATTATGAAAATGCACGTGTCCTCCTTCATGAGGAGAACATTTACAGATTGGAATTTGTAAGTTCTTGGACACTTCCAATTGATTTGACTGTAAATTGAACTCTTTGAAAAGTCTCTCTGATTTTGTGATTTACTTTCCTTTAATTTATTTGTGCAGTTTTCAGCCCCCTCCCGGCTGTCCATCCAGCTGATGGACAGTGTGAGTGAAAAGCCCGAGGTGTTTGCCGTTTCTATGGAACCTAATTTTGCATCTTATCTGCACAATGATTTTCTGCCAGTTTTTCCTGGAAAGAAGGAGCCGCATGGCATTACTCTTCAGAGGTGATAAAGTACTCTTCAGATTTTACATTGCATTAGAGGGTCACAGTAGGAGTCTAGGCTATTCTCTCTGTAAGTCAGCACTTGCATCTTACATAGTTTAGGACGCATTTCTGTGCCTAAAGTTTTCTCGATCCATGCTTTAACCATTTAACTTGTTTGTTCGTTCGTTTTACCCTTTTCTGTCTCTTGCACCTAAATAGAAGCTAAACTAATGTTAAAAGCTTTGACATATGCTAGAACTATTACACTTCTTGAAGAAACGTGACAGACTCTGAAATATAGGCACCGCCCAGTGGATTTAGTTCCCGGTCTCTGTTTTTTGGGCAAGAAAAGTTTTATGTAAATTCTCTCGCAGTTTCAATTGCCTTGTGGTATAAAATGTGCTAAATGTTTCTGAAACTTCTTTGTTAGTTAATTCCTAACTTGCTGATCAATCTATTTGTGCAGAAACAAGCGCAAATATGCAGGGCAGGATGAATCCTCTGCCTTCTGCAGGGCCATGGAGGATGTTCAATTGGTCAATGGTTTAGAGTGCAAGATAGCGTGCAACTCATCCAAGGTATCTCGGCTCAGTTGAACTATATTTTTCATGGTGTTTGCCTTTAATCTGTGCACTTCCTATTTTTGAGTTTGATCCAAAGTACCTTCTTTCTCGATAAAAAAATAAAACTTTGGATGATAACCATTTAGTGATGTGACTAGAGAGAGTACGATGAAGAAACGAAATCAAAACCATGAAACTGTATTGTAATGTGGTAGTAATAGAGGCGGGGGGGGGGGGGGGGGGGGGGGGGGGGGGCGCAAAGTCAATGCAAGCACTAGACACCGTATATGCATATATTTACATGCATGTTTTTTTTTCTTTTTTCTTCCATGAAGTTCTATTCATGAAAGTATCATGTGGCAGATCTCTTATGTTCTGGACACAGAAGATTACTTCTTCCGTATGAGAAGGAAAAGGAGAAATCCATCTGGGGCCAGATCACCATACTGTGATCAGTCGAGAGTACAGCGGTTCCACAAATTCTTATCAGTCTCATAATAGCTTTAGAAGGAAATTACTTTGCGATTGGGAAGCTAAAGGTAGACATGAGATAAACGCTTTTGAAACTCTTGAAAAGATGCCTTTTCTTATATGCCACTGGTATACAAGTGTTGAGAGTGAGATTAACCCATGCCTTTTGCAACAGGTGTCATCGACTCAATTTCTGACAGACTGAGAAGGAAGACAGTGGGGCGGGACATGTTACGTGTTCAGTTCTGAAGATTGGCCTAGGAGCCATTGTTGTGTATATAAGGTTGGTGTATGATAATTTCGTAGAAAGGTATTTTAATTAATGTTCTTGATCTCACCTTCATAAACACACTATAAGTGTAACAAATTGGTCAAATAGCAGAAAAGCACGAGCTTTAACAAATCCTAAGATCTTCAAGTCCATCTTGCAGTTTCATACCAGCATTTTGCAGGCATTACTGCATCATTATTCTTTTGCACCCGAATATTAATTTTTTTGTAGAACAGGTTCTATAATTTTTCAATGTAACATAGTGTGATAAATATTTTACAAGTAATAGCTTACAAGTGTAGTCATTCTTCATCAAGAATTTTGTTCTGCTGCTCTGGAAAACGGATCTGGCACATGGTATTTTGATGTATATTTTCTTATTATATAAATGTTATACATGGATGCAGTAAACATTACGTTTATATTATTGGACTAGGCTACTTATATCAGAGAGAGAGAGAGTCAAATATTTTCAGAGGTGCAGACATGGCTTATGCTAGTTAGCCACAGCAGTGAGCTTGTCTGTTTGCACTCATGTTCTAGTTTCCGTTCTCGTATATTAGAGTAGTTTAGATTATCATTTGTAAAAAAAATGTAGTTTTCGGAGGTGGAGGTATTCAAAAAAATAGAAAAGCTAAATCTGGGTCACACAGCAACAAGGGGTTTAGCGTGTCAGGAAAAATGGGCCGAAGCTCGATCGAACCCAGCAAACAGAGATGTCGGGCCTTTTTTCACGTGGTTCTCGTATCTGCAAACGTAACGGACCCCTCGATTAAGGATTTGCTTTCTGCACGCTTGCTTCCTCATACCACTCGTGGCTTAAGCTGCGCCAGCAGATTACAAGAAGTCGTGACCACTCTTACAAAAATGCCCTTCGCTCGTACAAATATTTATAATTAACTTTTTCTCTAATCAAGTTCCCTTTACAAACACAAAAGGAAAAGTGTATTCTGAATCTGAAGAAGGAATTCAAAATGGATTGAAAAAAATAAGGTCTTTGTTCAAGAAATCGTTTTGCTATTTCCAACTCCAAAAACAGTTGAAATGAAAACAACTTAGAAGACAAATCAAAGTTTTATAACAAAATAGTGATTTAAAGTTTATGTGGGTTAGGCAAGTTAACAAAGTTTTATAACAAAATGGTGATTTGAAGTAGGCAAGGACGGTGAACTCGCCGTCTAACACCTAAGTTCAAGTTTCCCTCCCCATAAATTAGATTAATTTAAAATATTTTAGACTATGACTTGTATTTATTTATAAAAAAAAAAAAAAAAAAGTGATTTGAATTGTTTTATAATTTGAAAACTTAAAACATACAAAGGTAAATAAGGTGGATCTTGAGGGCATTATGGAAATTTAAGAGAGATAAAAACAGCGAACAGAAGTGTTGGGCCGTGGGCGTAGAAACCTGTCAATAAAAGAAAGAAAGAGAGGGAGAGAGAGGTGAGGAAGGAACGCAAAGCCAGGGGAATTCGTAATATCCACTCCCTCCCTATCCACCTATATTACTCTCACAATCCCAATTTCTATTTTGCAATCCATTTTTCTCTCTTCATTTTCCCAATAAAAAATCCTCTCTCTCTCTCTTTCTCCATAACTATCTATCTATCTCTCTGGGTTTTCCCAAGTTAGGGTTTTACGAATCAAATTGATTTTCTTCTCAATGAGTTCTGGCTCCGTCTCCTGCCCTCCTGCTGTTCCCAAAGACTTGGCGAAGAAGAAGAGGGTAAGGCTCTTCCCAATCTCCGCTTTCTCTTATCTCCTTCTGCATGTCTGCATGTGTGCTTGCTCGGAAATGGAGGGAAATTCAAATATCAAGTTTGAATTTTAACGAAGAATGGGTCCATTCGTGAAATTCACTTGAGTGTTCTCTTAGACAAAATTGTGTTGGAGTTGAATTTTAATTTTTAATATTGCGAGCTCGCACTTACTTCCAATTTTTTTTCCAGACAAACCGGTTGGCCAAATTGAAGCAGAGTAAGCTCGATGTTCGCCGTGAACAATGGCTTTCACATGGTATTTCTTCCATCTCTCTCTAAATTTTCTTTTTAGAGAATAAACAACATTCAAGTCTTCTGTTTTTGGTGGAAAACGAGTTAAAGTTTTGATTTTTCACTAGGATTGTCTTTACAATTATATTTTTTTTCTTCATAAAAAAAAGAAAAAAAAAAAGTGGCACTCGTTTTCTTGATGCATAAATTTCTCAATACAGTTTGTATTGGGATGCAGAAATTGGCATCTGTGAAATGCATCGAATTGAATATGAGGAGGTTAAAAACATTTACACACTTTTTTTTTAAATGAAAAAGGAAATAAATTTTTCTTATTTAAAGTTTAACATAAGCTGGTCTCTATGGCAATACTAAATGTGTTGTTGGTCGTCAATGTACATAGGTAATGCTAAAAACCAGACCAAGAAGCCAAGCTTTTTTATTTATTTCCTGACTTGATTATTCAAATCCGCCCCTTTCATGAATCACAACCAATTTATGAAGTGGCACCTGACACTTTATCTTCTTTTATTGGTCACATAATCAAATACTGGATTTGAAATCAACATAAATTTGATGATCTGATTTCTTCTCCCCACCCTCTCAAAAGGACAAAAAAGGTTCACAAGAATCACTTTTTATAGAATAGTTTAGAAGTTTTTGAAAGTTTATCACATTTTTCTGATGTAATTTTGATGCTGATAAATTTTTTCTGTAATGCAGTCAAGAATAAAGGGCAGAAGGTGAACTTGGATGGAAGGGGTGGGTCACCTACACCCTCTAGGCAAATAGATAATGTGCAAAATGGATCATTGGACAATTTGGAAACGAGTTCAATAGGAGGAGAGAATGATAAAACGAGCATCCATGACAGCGATTTGGAGTCTCTGATGAACAGCCTGAGTGGAAGCAGTTTGGATTGTAATGATTCAATGAAGAATCTTAGTGAGAGCTGCAGTGGTGGTTGCTCTGGAAATGACAGCAAGGAGGATGCTGATGATGGGTGTCTAGATGACTGGGAGGCTGTGGCAGATGCTTTAAATGCAAATGACAATAAGCATAACCCTATTATTGATTTTCCTGCCAAAGCTGAAATCAGAGTTGAACCAACAAGTCCTGAACTATCTAGGGAGAATCCTGGAGATGAATCATCAAAACCAGAGAACAGAAACATGGTTCCTGGGTCACATACGATGTGTTGTGCTTGGAGACCTGATGATGCTTCTCGTCCTCAGAGCTTGCCCAATGTGCCGAAGCAGCATAGTTTCCTGGTGCAATCAGACTGGCATTGCGGCCAAGGAGCCATTGCATGGGCATGGCAAAGCATTGTGCCCCAGCCTTCTTCATGTCCTATATGCTATGAGGATTTAGATGTCACAGACTCGAGCTTTCTTCCGTGTTCTTGTGGTTTTCGGCTTTGCCTCTTTTGCCACAAGAGGATTCTAGAGGCAGATGGGCGATGTCCAGGCTGCAGGAAGCAGTATGATCGTGTAAATGGGGTTATAGGCTTTAATGGAGGAGCTACAACTTTTAGAGTAGCTTGATCGTCAGTGTGAGTACCAGATCCTAGAAAGAGAGTTTCTATTTCTTGAAGTTTCTGTATATCGGCTTTCTCTAGTTTTCGTGTCGGTCGTGTCTGTTGCACATTTATCATAGTTAACAAAAATGCGAGTATAGTGATAGAGGCGGGAAGCAGCCTGGTGGTAACTGAGCTTGGAACTTGGATGAGTCCAATTCCTGTATGATGTTTAGCATATGTTGGTGTAGGAAACTGATGCAGTTATGTGAATACATGGGATGCTACAAACTTTCAGAATAAGAAATTGAAGTGTATCTGCTTTATTCTTACTTGTGTTGCATTTTCTTGAATCAAACGGCTTTTGTGCAATTTTACCAATTTTTTTTTATGGTTGTGCCACACTTTCTCCTCTTTTTCAAAATATTTCTTCTGGATCATCTTATGAAGTCAAAAGATTGTGCTTCTGTTGTCATTTGGCTCTTCTGTGGAAGTGAATTTGAGAACCCATGTCTGTTGCTGGTGAACATTTTGTGGGCATGAATTTTGATGCCTTATGGCCAGTCCTTGCCAAGTGGACTAGCAAGCATATTTCAAGTTCTGGGTGGAACAGATATTTCTGCCTGTCTTGATTCGTTTGAATTCTTCCCATCTACTGTGGACCTGCCACATGGGATGTGGAGCCAATGCTTTCTGGTGGCCGAGGTGGTTGCCGCGTTCACCTGCCATGTACATCTGTCCATGTGAATCCATGCTCTGGTATTCTTATGTTCTTTTTCCCCTCTTCTTTTCGGGGTTTCGTTTACTAATAATAGTATACACTATTAGTCATTTTTTATACTCTTTAATCGTTTGAGGTCAGTGAAAATAGGATATTATATTTATAGCATTAGTTTTGTGTGAGAAGTCTCCGGTTCAAAACTTTCTCATTTCCATTCGTCAATTATCTATTAATCCTATACATGGTCAACTTTGCTTTCCGGAAACAACTTATCCGCTTGAGATACATATATCATGTTACATGTAAGTTTCTCTCATATAATCCAAATTAAACGGATGTACACACCGAATTACATGTAAGTTTCTCTCTTAGTTTCCTACCAAAAAACCAACAAAGCTAGGTGGCTAGTACAGCCGAGATGGCCTAATAAGATTGTGAAAACCTCTGACCTAGATCCAAGATGTGTGGCAAATAACCAAGTCACAGCTTTTAACGGGTGATGTTAGATACTTGCCAGTGTATAAATGTCTCTAACTCTACGTATGCATGATGAGTACGAAAGTGTGTCGTGTCCCATGGAGATTCAAACGTAGAAAATCCCGACTCCGGTTCACACACGCACACAAGCATAGACCAAAATCTGAGAGACACTCTTGTAAAAGGACAGTTAGGAGACCATCATATTCGAGACTTGAGAGAAGTAAATGCAGTAAAATAATAATTTTCTTTGTCTTCTCTTTTGGTCCATAAAAAATGCTTTTTTCTATTTTGTACCACAAGTAAAATAAATATTCTTTTGCTTAAAATAAGTTAACGTTCATTGCATGTGGTCACATGGCAATGACTAATAAGAGGCCTAATAATGATAATGCAAGCTGTTCAAAGCACGTGGTCACATGCCTTCATACAGAGGACGAACCTCCTCGAAGCCTTCCCCAAAATGAGAAAAGTAAATAGAAAAAGGATTTTTTAATTATAAATGGTCCATGAATTTGTTATAAGTCTTCATTCAGCTCCTCAAACTCATAAATTAATTAATGTGATGTGATCTGTTATCTTTTGGTCTACACATTAATCCGGCTTATGTTGTCGCATTTTGATAAAATTTTCGTTAAATTTGATCATGTATCATCATAGGACGAACTATGAAAAGTTCTTTATGTAAAAATAGCGCTCATCTTTGTCATTAAACTCACGTTTTTGTTTAATAAAGTCATCATTTTTTATATTTTGATTCAATTAAGGAGAACAAATAACCTTGTTGAGCAAAATACATGATGATTACTTTTTGTCATCACTAAATAGGTTGTATTTTGATGAAAATATCATTTTAAAGTTCGTCACGTGCCATCACGTGACCAATTTTACCGAATATCTTGAAATTTTCACACAATGCAGCGAGATGGACCAAACTTGTGTGTGAACCAAAACAGTAAAGACTATATTGTTTGATTTGAAAATTTGAGGACTCCAACTTTGAAAAGTTAAAACCCATTAGTGATAAAAACCGAATAAAGAAATTTCTAAACGACCGTAAGCTCGAAGAAAATTCCTCGACAGCAATATTCATTCAATTGAAACCAAACCGGCGAAGCATCCAAATTTACAGACGCGTTTTCTGTTACGCGCAAGAAATAATAATAAAAGACGTGTTGCGTTTTCAATTTCCCATAATCTTCTTTCCACACTTTTTCTTTGACCATTTCACTACAAATATACACATTTATCTCTTCTTTCTTTCCATTTCCGTTTCACGCTCTCAAACAGCTTGCTCTGAAACCTCACAGCGATGCTTTTCCTCAGACCCGTTTCTGTGCTTCTCTTCCTCGTCTCTTTCATTCCCTTTCCCACAAATGCAATCCGATCGTTTCCCGACGCACACGCACAAATGGGTCTGCGATTCTCAGAGGCGCCTGAATACACAAACGGATTGAGCTGCCCTGTTTTGGGTCTGAATTTGAAGAGCTTGGCATTGGCTTGCGATCCCTCGCTTGTTCACGTCGCGATGACCATTGATTCAGAGTACTTGAGAGGCACCATGGCTGCAGTTCACTCTGTTCTCAAGCACGCTTCTTGCCCAGAAAACACCTTCTTCCACTTCATCGCCTCAGATTCAAGTTTGGTCAATTTACAGGACCTCACTCGCATTGTCCAATCCACCTTCCCTTCCCTGAGTTTCAGAGTTTATGTTTTCAGGGAAAGACTCGTCAACAATCTGATTTCGTCTTCGATTCGAAAAGCTCTCGACAACCCATTGAACTACGCGAGAAGCTACTTAGCTGACTTGCTCGACCCCTGTGTGGAGAGAGTGATTTATCTCGACTCTGATGTCATAGTTGTGGATGATGTACAGAAGCTATGGAAGATTTCTTTATCTGGGTCGAGAGTGATTGGTGCTCCAGAGTATTGCCATGCAAATTTCACCAAGTATTTTTCTGATGGGTTTTGGAAAGACTCTGAGCTCTCTAAAGTTTTTGAAGGGAAAAAGCCTTGTTATTTCAATACAGGTGTTATGGTGATGGATTTGGTGAGGTGGAGAGAGGGTGACTATACGAAAAAGATTGAGAATTGGATGGAGATTCAGAAGGAGAGGAGGATTTATGAGCTGGGTTCTCTTCCACCATTTTTACTGGTTTTTGGTGGAGATGTTGAGGCCATCCACCATAGATGGAACCAGCATGGGCTTGGGGGTGACAATTTGGTGAACAGTTGCAGGTCTTTGCATCCAGGTCCTGTTAGCTTGTTGCATTGGAGTGGTAGAGGGAAGCCATGGTCGAGGCTGGATTTGGGAATGCCTTGTCCAGTTGATCTTCTGTGGGCGCCTTATGATCTCTACAAACACCATCACCATCATCTTCACGATCAGCATCATCTTCAACATCACCACCACCTCCAAACACAACAATTTTCAACGTTGTAGCACAGGATTATTTTTTTGATTATTTATTTTTTGTTTGATTTCCTTCGATTCTTTGGTACATAGGAGATCATAAATTTTACCGTATGTATATATAGACGGAGATGTAAACAGAGTGAAAACTGCGGGACACATTGTTCCAATTCAAGTTCGACATTTTTCTCAAGTTGGTCTCAGATTTTTGATTATTTGCTATTTTGTTATGGCTTTTCATCCCATCCAGGCTGGGCAGAAATATAAAACTCAGAAACTGCGGTCATTCTCACAACCACTTCCACAATAATTATAAGTGACAGAAATTTCTTTGATACTTCTTCCAATCAATATGTTAACAGATATTTTTATACAGGTGGTGCAGATATACGGACCTTCAAAACAAGGACTTCTAATATACATTTGGACTTGTGGAGACTTGAGAACGATTTCCATATTTTGAAACTTTAATTCAACCCAAATACATACATAACCGTAAAAGCTGCAAGCAAAGATTTAAAATTCATAGGCTGCAAAGAACATGATATCCTGCAAGTAATAATGACTAGAAGCAGAATTTGGAGAGCAGTTTCAATTATTCCGAAAGGAGTGTTGGTTGCTATGTATTTCAGCTATACACCCTTGCAGAGGTAAATGGAATTTAAATGTACATTATAGGTTGATTTATAGAACGATGGAAGAGGTCGGAACATGAAGCGATAACTAATTTGGTATTCCGTAAGAAGCTTTCATTTGAAAGAAGAATAATTATACAGATGAACATAAAAAACCAAAAAGGTAGATTTAGAAAGGTTGACATATATGAACATGAAGAATGTACACGCCTCCCACTTTCCTCTCATCACAATAATCCAACAACACAACTCAAATGTAATCTGTTCTCCAAGCCTCTTAAGTGATGTCCTAACAACATGCACCTGCCAGCAGAAAACGAAACCTTTAGAATGCAATCTCTAATGGAAATTGGATCGATTATTAAGATACTAAGATATGCATATCACCTATGTGAAGAATGACAGTTCCCAGAAGTGAGTTATTGCAATGAAAATTTGGACAATCAAGAAAACAAGCCATTTAACAAGGACAATGATAGACGTCTAACCAGAAAAGCAGCTTCGCTAGGTAATCTCGTGAAGTTCCCACCGTATCACATAGTTCGCCATCAGCATCTAGGTCATTCTCTATATTTGCTGGGACGGAATCTTCCACAAATTCTGAGGAAGTCCCATCTTTAAAGAATCTCTGCAATATATTTTGGACAAGCTGGTGTATAATTTCCTCTACCTCTAATGATGATGGCCGAGATAGTTCAGTCACCTGTTAAAACAAATCATCATAGCATTATAATAAGGCTCCACTCTATACAAATTTTAACTAAGTAGCAGAGCAACAAAATAGTTAACAGGCAGATTTGAGATTATCACCATATTTGAATCTAAGGACCGTAGATAATCCAACAAATCATTCCTATGTCCTCTGTCATATTCTAATTGCACATTTTCTTGCTTTCGAGCTTTCAGTTCCTGAGACAGAGCAACAAAGCATTAACACATTCTGCTTTAAAATATTGTACAATGCTTTAATCATTCAGAAGAAAGCTCAAAAATCCAAATACCAGATAGTTCAATGAATTAAGCTTCATAATATTTAACTCAAAAGAAACAAAACTGTGCATCTTATATAAGACCAACATAAAAGAAAAAAGAAGCGCAAAAACCAAACTTTGAAGCTCATAGACCAAGGAAAATGAGGCTTGCTTTCAAAACTAAAAATTGCAAACAAACAAGTTGTCCCAACTAGAATTCAAAAAATTCACTATGATAGGCACAATTGGAAGAAATGCACTAGAAACTGTGGATCTGAAAAACGTAGGAAACTTAGAGAGCAAATGCTCACCTCCTTCACATTGGTCAACTCCGATTGCAACCTCTGGATATAATTCAAAGCCTCCGGAGACAAATCCCCAAAAACTTGAGGAGCTGTTGAATCCAAGAGTTCGCTACTCATCCCAACGCCATTTATGCTACGCATTTCCTCACTCTCTGCCATCTCCGATTCCCCACCAATCTTCGACCGATCGGACGGCATAGAATTTTCCGAAGAAATGTCGAAATTTCTCATCAACGATATCCGACCGCGTTTAATTAATCCAATTATGCGCCGAATTCATTGAAATTTGAAGGAAAAGAAAGATATCGTAGAAATGTGAATTACCCGGTGATTATGGAAGAGGCGAGGAGGCGATCGAGAGGGGCTTTGCAAACCCTAACAGTGACGGAGAACTGATCGGACGGGAGTAACCCCAGCATAGTAGAAATCGTCTGCTTCATGGAGTCCTTGGCGGAATCCGAAACGCCCTTGGAGATAACGGAGGTGTCGAGGGGCTCAATCCGCTTCAGCATGTTGGCGATGACGGAGAAGCCGCGGTCGAACCCGGACTTCCGAGTCGAAACGAACTCGTCCGAGACGCCGCCACCGTCTACGCCAGATATGAGGCATCTAACGGCGGGAGATGAGCTGGTGGCTAAACGACGCCGTCGGAAGGAGGGGAGCAGAGGGCGGACGAGAAGGTGGCGGGAAATCGGGGGCGGTGGTTGGCAAGGCTTGAGAGAGAGGTCGGTGAGGCGAGATAGAATGAAGGCTCGGGCTGTGGCCGCCATGAATTGCAAGAAATTACGGAGAGTGAGCTTTTTATTTTTATTACAAGCTCTCCGCCTCTCTGTGTATCTTACAGAGTGATGATTCTGCCTTTGTGGCTGGCTTGTACCTGCTGGAATCGTTATCTTGCACTTTCATTTTTGTTTGCTTTCGTAAGTTGCGCGTTGGTTAGTGAGATTCCCCTGGTTTTTCAACCGAATTACGGATTCACCACTGCTAGACCGGACGCTTTGTATATACACCGTACACCGTGGAAGCGAGTACAATTTTGTTGTGAGATTTGCGAATCAATTTTCATGTGGATGTGGATTAGTCGGTTCCCAATTCCAAATAGTCATTAGTCGCTAATGACTGTCTGGAATGGAACGTGATTCATATTGTGCATGAATTTAAGAAATTGGAATTAATATAATCAAGTGCGTCCATGGAGTGTCAACTTGCGATTGGACCAAGTATGAAATAAGGTTGAAGAATGTGGTCACTGCTTATGAGTAATGGTGGTTTGCATAGACAGCAACGAAAGCCCTCGTCATATTAATTTACAGCAGATGAAGTCATTTTGGTTTAGCCATCTACTGAGCACTATTGTGTAATGTGTATGGCTCAGATGCCACCTCACCGCAGCTTTGAGACCACAAATGGAGTGATTTGACCCCAGCAAACGGGCCGTTTTATATACCTTCATTATGCATCTTTTTTTTTCTTGGATTCGTCATCCACAACTGAGGTCTCTCCTTGATAAGCATTTCAGTGCGCCGCTGCATATAGATGTTTGATGACCAACTATATCCTTAATGGGAGAGAAAACTGAGATTTTGAATTCTCAGATTAACAAAAATCTTGCTGTGCAGTTAGGCATAACTTTGAGTAATCCACCAAAGTGAAACCAAGGAGCAGAACTCAAAGATTATTACCCTTTCACCAGACAACAATGGTAAAATCAGATACAAATACACAATGAGAGAATGGAAAACACACAAAGGATTGATCAACTCCAACTGATTACAACATGAAAACTGAATCATTTCATCTCACATTAAGTAAAACAATTCATAAAACACTAACAAATACAGGCAAAGTATTGAAAATAAAACCAAAAGATATCTTCTGTTCTAAGATACTAAGCACTCTAGTTTGACAAACCAAAACACATTTGATCGAAGTAGGGAAGACAAAATCTATGGGTCGACTGTGCTTACTTGTTGCCACTCTCCATCGACAGATTCTTTCCACAATGTTACATTGTTATTTCCATCAGCCACAGCAAGTAAGTTTCCGGTTAGTGACCATGACACCCTCCAAACTGGGGTCTTAAAATCCTTCAAAACATTGCCCTCCCACTGCTCACCTTCCTTGGCCACAGTCCAAATAACTACTGTTCCATCCTGTGAAGCACTTGCAATTGTGGACTTGGGAAGTCCCAAGTTGGGTGCCCAAGCTACATCTCTCACCCAATCACTGTGCATCTGAAGGGCAGGGAAGCAATCCATCTTCCATGTCCCATTGTACAGCTTCCACACCTTCACAGTATTATCACACCCGCCAGAAGCCAGCTTATGAACAGGATCAAGCAGACCGGATCCAACTAGAGCACCGGGAGCCATGGATGGGGCCCATGAAACAGATGTTACACCAATGGGGTGAGCTTGGTCTATCCTAGTGGTGTCCCAACCACCATCCGGCCTGGCAGTGAAAACCGAGATATTCCCATCAGAAGAACCACAAGCTAAGCTAAGGCCAAGTTCATGAGGAGCCCAAGCAATGGAATTTACAGATGACTTGTGATCATTAAACACATGAGCCTGTTGCCACTCATTTGGATTACCCTCCTTCCAAATTATCACCTGGCCATCATAAGAACAGGAAGCAAGGAGTGACCCAAACTTGGGATGTGCCCAAGCTACCTCCCAGACAGGGCCTCTATGAGCTGACAATGTAGCTAGATGCTGTGAACCACTGCCGACACCAATTATCTTAATGGTGGCATCGGACGAAGCTGTTGCTAGACGCTTTCCATAGTAATCCATGGCTACATCGTGGACAATGTCCTGGTGACCAGTTTCAATCTTCTGCGCAGGCATTGTGACTGATTTCTTCTCTTGTGGTAAAAGTCCTCAAATCCCCTTTTCTTCAATTTCTTGGCTGTGTCTCCTTTACGCTTCCTCTGGATTCCAATGGTTTGAATATCAAAATTGATGGGAAATAATCCTCTAACTAATTTCTCACATAATTGCATTACAGATAATACCTATCGGTAACAATTCTACAAACAGCAGTAACTCACAAAATTAAAATAAAACGCAGCAAAACTATTAATTTCAGAGAAAATTGACTCATAGCACGTTGAAAATCTAACAGTTCGTAGAAAAAAAAATTGTGCAGTATAAAACCCACATTTGGTGTTCATATCTTATCACCCCCAAATAATTAACAAGAAGAACACGGAGAATATGCACCCAAAGAACTATATAACGTCATAATTGAACTGGAAACTATTTATTTAAGGTTAATTACCACGAAAAAAGAAAACCTAATAACAATTATTCAAGGAATTGTAATTTTCGAAGGTCCACAAAGCCACAAACTCTCTCACAGATTTCATATGAGGGCAACGAAATAGAAATAAGAACCGTAACAGATGAACGACATACCTCTGAGAGGAAGATAGAGAACACGTCGTCGTATCTGATCGGAGGTCCAGTTCAGAGAAACGCTTATCGCTCGCTTGTAACTTGTAACTCGTAACTCGTAAGAAGAGAGGGTCCCAAAAATTTCAGGCTTCAGCTCAGCGTCTGTTTCTTAGGGACGTGTTTGGGCACGGGATCTCTGATATATGATGACAAAGCCAATCCAGACGTAGGAAAAGCCCACTCTTCTTATTGGCCCAATTAGATATGGGCCTTGCAGCTCGTTTAGCCCAATTGGCCCCAATTTTCCCTTTTTACTTTTTTCTAATACTTTCTCCGATTAAATATGGCAAAGAGAAACCAAAGTCAATAGTGTGGGAACATCCATAATCCAAACATCAGATGCGTTGCAGTACCAGGTATTGTGGTATAATTGGTCATAATATAAGGGATGTAGGAATTTTTCGCAAAAACCAACTGACTATTTACCGCAATGAAACCGCGATCGTGGTAAACCGAACCGTATTTGCGATATGAAGAACCGAACAGCATTTGACGTTGCAGTTGCAGTATTTGATTTTCAAAACTTGCGGTTACCGCAAACCGCAAAGTATAGCCAATCTATGTTGTTTTATTTGATCTTCTTATAATAAAATGTACTAAACTATGTTGTTTTATTTGTAAATAGCATTGGTGCTCAAACAACACAACGGTGTTCTTCAAATCCACTCACCACCAACACTTGAATTTGTAACTTTAGTTTGTAACATTGGTGCATTACATTTTTCTTTTAGTTTGTAACTTTAATTAACTTTGAATTGAATTTTTCTTTTTAGCTGTAACTTTAATTCATTTTGCTTTGCATTTTCCTTTTGATTTGTAACTTTAAAGGATTTGGAATTGGAATGCTTGAAATTGTAACTTTAATTTTTTTTAGGTTGTGAATGCTTGAGAAGTTGAGGAGATTGTGAATTTATATATGCTTGAGAAGTTGAGGTTGTGTATTTATTTATTTAGGTTGTGAATTTATATTTTTTTGAATGCTTGAGAACTTGCGATTTTAAACTACTAATTTGCGGTAACCGACCGTTTTTTGTGGTTTACCGCAATGCGGTAAACCGAAAAAAATGGTCGGTTTGCGGTTTCAAAAATCACCATACCGCAAATAGTCGGTCGGTTTGCGGTTTGGGCAAAAATTCGCGGTTACCGAACCGCAACCACCCCTAACTGGTAGCATGACTCGAATACGGATAGGACTATATACAGTGCAGAAACTTTATCAATTAAACCAATCCTATAATTTTTCATTATACCGTCTACTCATATTATAACACATAAACCGATTATATGATTATATCACCCGATAATCCACCTATCATACTCCAATATGACACGATAATTTTTTCAATTCGTGATTAGTGTTTACAGTGGACTAACTAGAACAACTAGGAAGAAGACTCTTCTTGGCAGGCCCCACCCACCAGAACCACCAACAAGAGTAAAGTCGGTCGTCTCTTCATTTTCTCCTCCTTCCTCTCCGCTTCTTGAGCTTCAGAATTGAATTTGAGATCCCATTCCATCTCCTCGCACCTCCACCAAACACGGACACATAATCTCATCACTTCCCAAAACAAAAGCCATCTTTTTTTTTCTTTTCAAAGAACAAAAATAAAATATCAGACACAGAAAAGACAGTTAACCTAAGCCCAAAAACAACAGCAGCAGCAACGACAATGGCTTTCTCGTCGTACATGGGCAGCACCCGCCGGGGAGGGTGGGCCAACTCCCTCCTCCCCTCCTCTTCCAACCCCAAATCCAAGCTCACCAGAAAGCCCCGCAGGCGATTGCCCCTCCGAGACTTCATCTTCGCCAACTTCTTCACCATCGGCCTCTCGATCTCCCTCTTCTTTTTCTTCGTCGTCATCCTCCGTTACGGCGTTCCCAGTCCCCTCTCCTCCCACTTCAAATCCAAATCCTCCACCCGTTTCCCCAAGCCCCGAAAGTCCGCTTCCCGCAAACCAGTTTCGGCCGGCGATTCGGGCAGCGACGCCGCGGTAGGGGCCACCGTCGACATCACGACCAAGGAGCTGTACGACAAGATTGAGTTCTCGGATGTGGACGGTGGGCCCTGGAAGCAGGGGTGGAGGGTGAGTTACAAAGGGGACGAGTGGGACTCTGAGAAATTGAAGGTGATTGTGGTGCCCCATTCGCATAACGATCCTGGCTGGAAGCTCACTGTCGAAGAGTACTATGAGAGGCAGTCCAAGCATATACTGGACACCATTGTCGACACGCTTTCGAAGGTGAACAGCTCTGTTTTTTCTTAATTTCTGATTTTCAATGGGTTTGCTGAGCTTAAATTTTGCTTCTTTTGGTTAGTTTTATCATGGGTTTTTTTGTTTTGTTTTAAATGATTAATGCACTTTGTTCCTGTCCTATTTTACGAGGCCTTTTAATGTGCAAACGAGTTTCCGTTTGCAGTTCTAGTTTCTGATAAACTC